CCTTTTTTGCAAAACCAAGAACGAGAACATAGGTTTACTCTACAGGTGATATTTTATACTCATTTTGACATAGACTCAATAGCACAATTAATGGAGATTAACTTTTTTTTTTTTTTCATTTTTAGCATGCCAAAAGTCAAGCACTACAAAGTGATGAGCATAGGAAAAAACTACACTATTGAACTGGAAAAACCTGTGAGTAGATATTTCTTTCTTGTTAATGTTCTCCTAATTCCTGGCAAACTTACTTTATGGACTCTAAGGAAAGATGGAAAAATAGATTTCTTGCCTAGCAACCTAGTGCTGGTGAAAAAAAAGCAGCAGATATCCAGAGTGAGGAGTGAGATATAAGAACAGTCAGATGAAGCAGAATAAAAGATAATCCATTTGCAACTATTCTTTCTCTGCAAGACTTTATTAACATAATTGCTTCTGAGAGAGAAAAAAAAAATTCTTTCCTAAATTTCATTTATTTTGTTATTGTTGAGAATATGCAGAGCAAAATATACACCAATTCAGCAGGGTTGTGTACAATTTAGTGACATTGATTACATCCTTTGAGTAGTGCAACCATTCTTACTTTCTTTTTCTGAGTTTTTCCTCTATCGTTAAGAAAAACTGATCCTTAATATTCTTATCTAATATTTTGTGTGGCTGTTGTCAACTTGGTCTCATAAAGATAATTTTTAGAAGAGCATAATGCTCAAGGCAGACCTTTTTTACTACATAAACTCAATTATTGTCTAGTTTTAAGATAACTTCAGAAGGGGAAGTTTTTTACTAGGTAAAGCTAAATTATTGTTTGGTTTTATGATGCACTTAACTTTTTTATAAAAAATACATTTTATTGAAATATAATTTATGTACAGTGAAATATACAAAACTAAATTGACATGGGTCAATGTATTTTTTTTTTCAGTATTCCCTTCCCACCCCTCCCACCCCTGGCAACCAACAAAGAAAGTTTCCCTCCATATATAAACCTTCCCAGACCCTCTACAACAATGGCTAATACTATATTTATCCATCTGTGATTGATTGATTTCAGTCAGCATGTTGTTGTTGTTGTTGTTATGTGTTGAGTCAGCCCCGACTCATAGCAACCCCTCCTTGGCAGTATCACTACAGAAGTAGATTGCCCTATCTTCCTTCCCAGGAGTGGTTGGTGGGTTTGAACCGCCAGCCTTCTGGTTAGCAGTCAGCATAAGGTTCTCCAAATTCATCCATATTGTGGGGTTTTGCAGACTCTACATTATTCTTTAGTGCTTCATAGCATTCCATTGTGTGTATGTACCATAGTTTGGTCATCCACTCTTCCCCTATAAATCTTAGAGATAAGTCCCTTGCCAGATAAGTAATTATCAGCAAATATGAATTTGTTGCTGTCATTTTTGTTATGTGCTTTTTCATTGTGTCTATTTCTTTGTTCCATACAATTCTATGCTGAGCTCATTTTGTTTATGTTATCACTTCCTTCATTGCTATTGTTTTAGTATTTGCTGAATATTTATGCT